GCAAATGTTCTAGCAGGTTTCAGAGTTTGTGAATCGCCCAATGGAATGTTTCATCCATAAGTGAAATATTGTTCCTAAATTCCCATTTAATGGCCAAGCCTGTAAGTAATTAACTCAGATTATACTGCCCGACTGGGGTCACTAATTCTAAGCGGAATAACTTAACTCTATTCTTAATTTCTAAGGGTCGCTGCCACCAGGCCCCCTCTGGGCAGTATGTAGCTCGTTAGGTAGCGTGCAGAGTGGACTAAGCATTGGGTTAGGTTTTTCATTGACCAGATCGATAAGGGGAAAGAAGGGTGAAACCATAACATGTCTTAATTAATTTATTCCTTATAAAACATACTGGTAAAAAAACATACAAGTGAGTTGGCCTTCCTCAGAAGAACAACGAAGATGTTGGTTACCCTGCTCGGCACCAGACGTCTTACATTAATTACGTGTCATCCACATACTTATTGCATAACAATCCGTGACCTCCTTACCTCGGTCATTCCTTCTTACACTACCCCTTAACACGTCAGACTGCTCCACCTGTATGGAATACAGCACTGTAGGTTATCATACATAGTAGCACCATCTCACCTCTCTGTAGCACCATCTCAACACACCTGTTACACTCCACACCTGCACATATGGGACTCCTTGTAATTTCTAGGTATACATATGAGGCACCTCGTTTGCACATCGCCCTCGGTGGGTAGAGACGAGGGCTACACCAAGAGACATACCAGTACTATTTCTATGCCTGGTATTATAGGTCGCTCCAAGTGACGACCGCAGAGTTTCTCAAGCGTTTCCTTATTTGTTCCTACTCATTTGGGGTGGTGTGCTGGGAATCCACAGGTTCACAGTGGATTGGCATAGCTGGGAGTAGTCACCACCTGGTGGGACGCTCATAGGGATAATGGCCGCCGCCCAGCAAGGCACTCCGACCGCATGGGACCTGAGGTGACGGTAGAAAGGAGGACACTGAGAAATAATGCCTGATGGGCGGTTATCACACCCTCTAACACATTACTATTTCACTAATACATCAGGCAAAGCTTTAAACTGTAATAACTGCTACATAAGCCTTTTTTACAGGGCGGGATGTAGCCCAATAGAAGACACTGACCTGAGGTGACGGTAGAACGGAGGACACTGAGGGCAGTGCCCCGTCGCTCATCACCGCGTAGACCTACAGTTTCCAATCTTTAATTTTTACTTTTATTTCTTACGGTTCTCACATGAACACTTTCCTGTATATTGTAACCTCATGCCTTATAAACACATATTTTAATCCTAAATTACACACTAAGATAAGGTTCTGGTTTGCTACTTCGTGGGTAAATTCATTGGGTTATACAGTCAACCCTCGCTTTACGCGGTCCCACATTCCGCATTTCCACGTTTACGCGGTACCCTGCCGAAACCGGAATGCTCACATTCCGCGGTGCGTGTACCCCTTTACGCGGAGAGCGGCTCTCGAGCCGCGCCATTTTTTGATCCAAACCTCCCGCCATCCGCCATGTTGTGTAAGCGGCGCGAGAAGGTTACGCAGTGTGTCTTTGTTGCGTTATCAGTGACGTCATATGACGTATCGGACTGTAATTGGGCCATGCATCCTTACCTCCCTCCGCTGCTAGCTGTGATTGGTTTAAAGTAATATGACGTGTCCACCCGCGGGAGGGAGGGAGGGAGGAAAGAGGACACTTGACCTAGCCGCGGCAGTTTCATCCCTCCAGGCCACACCGTGTAATCGTGCATCCATTGCTCCGTAAAATGACTTCCGCCGGACCACCGCCCCCAGAGAGAAACCTTTCCTTACCTGGACCCAGCCGCCCTAAGCCAAAGAAAACACGAGGTTCCTTAAGCTACGAAATGAAGTATAAGATCATACAAGAGTTGGAGAAAGGAACAAGACAGGTTGATCTCGCGCGCCAGCATGGTGTTAACAAGTCTACGATCAGGACAATTAAGAAGGATGTAGCCAAGATAAAGGAGCACATGAACATCACAAATCTACAGGTGCTTCTATGATCAAGTATTTCCACAACCAGGTGCTTCTCAAGACGGAAAAATTACTTGGTGCGTCAGGCGCGACGGAACATGGCGGTGGACACGCGCTCAGTTAAGGAGTACGCACGTGAACTGTATGCTGCAGTGTCACGAAAGATGGGAATTACAGAGCCCAAACCCTTTAATGCTTCCACTGGGTGGTTACAGAGGTTTATGAAGAGGAACAAGATCACCAATATTAACATTGGTGGTGAAGAAGCTAGTGCTGACCGTGTTGCGACTTGGGAATTTCCTCCGTTTTTAAGTGAGATTATGGAAGAAGGACAGTACACCGACGACCAGGTGTTTAACATGGACGAATCTGGTCTTTTTTGGAAAAAGCTACCGTCCAAGACCTTCGTTGTGAAGAATGCCAGCAAGATTCGGGGCCGGAAGTTACAGAACGAGCGCATCACCGTCCTGTTTACCACCAATGAATCCGGTACCTGTAAGCTCAAGTTATCGGTGATCCACACAGCACGCAAGCCGCACGCCTACAAGAGCATGGACATGACCAAGCTAAATGTCCACTGGCTGACCGCACGTACGGCATGGATGTTCTCTACACTGTCCCTCTCCTGGTTTGATGACTGTTTCGTTCCTGATGTGAAAAAATTCTGTGAGCAACAGAATGTGCCATTCAAGATTTTGTTGCTGCTGGACAACGCACCAGGACACTTGCCCCTACTGTTAGATCGTCATCCCAACGTAAAAGTGGTCTTCCTTCCTCCCAACACTACGTCTATATTACAGCCCATGGACCAAGAGTTAATCTGTAATGTAAAAGCTGCATTCTCTACTAAAAAATTCCAGCTCCTGAACGACTACACCAACACCAGGGAAGAGTTGCGTAACCTGAGTGACACCACCACCGATAGCAAGAGCGAAGACGACGAGGATCAACAGTTGGCAGAGCAACAAGTACTTTTAAAACAATTCTGGAGAATATTCAACATCAAAAAAGCTGTGGACTTCTTGGTGGAGGCATGGGATCAGCTGTCTGTAGCAACTGTTCGTCACGCATGGAGACATGTGTTGCAAGGCATTCTGGCTGTTAGGCAGAGTCAACCTGTGACTGGTGAGGTTCAGACTGTTGCAGTAGCAGTGGACCTTGCCAGAGAAGCTGCGCAGAGTGTTACAGCTGCAGGCTTCTCCAAGACCACCAACGACGACATCCTGGAGGTGATAAGGGATCCTGATGTGACTACCGACGACATGGCAGATGATGATGATGTCAGTGAAGAGGCAGGTGGTGCGTCATCCCAAGAAGAACTCCGCTTATCCCATAGTAATGTTAGGGGTGCCATCGAGTGTATCGAGAAAGCCAAGCTCCTCCTTTCCGACGACCCTGACGCAAACAGGTATGAAATCTTCACTACCCAGCTGTTGCAGACTATGGAGCCCTACATCAAGGTTTATCACGACAACACTAACACCAGCCGTCAGCAAAGCATAACCGAGTTCTTCGCCCGCAACCCACCACAGCCAGCCCAAGCCAGTGATAGTGACAGAGGTAGAGACAGTGATGATGGCTTTGAGGGATTTGTCAGGGAGGCACTAGTAAGTGTGGATGACACCGATGAAGACTCACCTGAGGGCCGGTAGCCTGCCCTCTGCCTCGGAACCAGCCTCCGTTCCCGTACGCCGACCCATCTCTTCTACTAACGTAAGTGTTAACCCCAACCTTGTTTTTTCTAACCTAACCTTCAGTTTATTGACTGTTCCTTTCTATATTATGTGTGGGTGAATACCATCATAAAGTTAAGATGTTATTTTTAGTAAAACGTACGTATTGTGTCGGGAAAAAGTGGAGTTTGGGGGTCGGCCCGGTCTCTATTTCAATTAATCCCATATGTTATGTTGTTCACTTTACGCGTTTCTCACTTTACGCGGGCCGCTGTGGGTTGACTGTAATATCAAAGCGGTCACACTCGAGGCGGGTACAAAGGACGCTCTCTTAAAACAAATGCCGAATGTTCATGGCGTGGGTATATCCACTTCACTTAAAACTGTAATTAGGGATCCTCCTCTCACACATTGCACTAATTTGAACACAGACATAAGATTCTCTGATCACTGTACATGTCATGGGTATATGTCACGCGATGATACGAGGTGTATTAAGTTCACACCGATACATACAAGATATTTCCTTTCAAGTATAGTTTTTGGGTCACTTCCAACACCTCACATAGTTCTGATACATTTATCCCTTTTCCAGATCATTGTTTTAATGTATTTTCATATGATATCTGCGGAAGTTATGTTCGCTACACGTTCACAGACGTAAATAGTATGACCGTCAAACCATGATTCACACTTATTCCTACAGTACACTAGTCCAGCTCAACTGGACTTTCCCAATCATCTTATGGATACCCTGAGTTCTCCTTAATGCTATGAATACATACAATACAACACATGATTCAGTAACATTGAGTAGGTGAGTTATCCTTTATCAATGTTTCCCGTTTGCTGAGATTCTACAAGCGCGGTGGATTTGATTGTTATGTAGCGTAATATGAATTAAAGGGGATTTTTAGGAATGACAGTGATGTGCGCAGTACAAGATACCCTCCCTCCTTCCTTTGGGTAGCATAAAATCAATTACTATAGAATAGTTTATTGCCTGACAACCCCATTATGGCTGAGACAGATGAAGGTTAAATTGTGTGTGTTGATGTGGTGTTCATGGCACATTGTGTACTACTGTACTGTAAGTGTGAGCTGTTGTTTATAAAGATTTCTCTTCGGGCTTGGTTGTTATAGCAAATTCATGAATTAATCCCACTCTGTAATGTGTATTGGTTAAACCTGTGTTTACAACTCAGGGCCTATGGCAGTTCCAGCCTCATCCATGAAATTGGATTTCAGAATCAATATTTCATTTATTTTTCCTATTTCTTATAATTTCTCTTGTAAGCACTGTATTTATTAACTTCATTATTATTTCCTCACAGATACTTCAGATTGAGCCGACAGTGCGTGAAGATTTCATGAAGTGGACTTGCAGCGTAATTCAGGCCTTGACATGATTGTACTTCATCAGTGTTATAAAAAAAGATATATATATAAACAGTATTGCTCCTTGGGCAAAATGTTTTCTTTGTTTATGATTATACATTTTGAAAATGTTTAAAGGAATTTAAATTGTATGCCTGTACATTGTATGAAAAGTTCTAACTGAGGATATGAAATTAATTTATACAGTAAAGTTTTGCTCTTTGTTTTACAGTGAATTGACATATGTTTCAATTTATCACAATTTAATTTTTATGGCAAAAATATTCAGATATTATAAAGTGTTTAATATTTTACAATGTATCATCAGAAAAACATCACTTGATGCATTTCCATGAGAGATAGAACACTCCACACATCTCAATAAATCACTCATCGCCACAACTCAAGTACTGTACTGTACTATAATTCTTTTGTGTACTGTACACATATTTCTGGAATACGGCAGTCGAGTGATACAGTGCTCACCTCCTGTTCCAAGGGTCAGTGATTCAATTCCAGGGCACTCCCTGTTCACCCAGCTGTAAATGGGTATCTAAGTTTGCAACTTGGGGAAGTGAATGTGGTTGTGAGCAGTACAGGCCTCCTTGTGTGCTGAAGACTTAGCATTTCCGGGTAATGAGATGACTCTTAATGTCGGAAAAAAATCCCTCATTCCGGGAATTTTCCGGGTAACGGAAAAATTTTCTCATAAGTTCAAGAAATTTTGTATTACATCGTCTCTCAAACCCGGAAAGAAATCTAACCCCAGAATTTTTCCCGGTACCTATATTTTCCAAAATGATACATTTTTGTTCAATCCAGAATGCGACGCCTAGCTTATACCTAGGTATGTTAATGCCTAGCAATAACTCGCCCGGCCAACATACAGGCAATTAAAACATCTGATAATTACTTTAAGTAATATTAGGAGGACACGTCGCTAGCTGTCATTTAATTGCAACTCTCAAAACCCCCTCCCTCACCCTCCATCACACGCACTGCCACCGTCATCTTCTTGCCTGGCGGATCAGCTGTAAATACACACAAAGAAGGCTCCGCTAATTTGTGTTGTAATAGCTGAAATACTAAGTGCCATGAGGATTTTATATACAGTATTTATACATCTTAGCGCAGTGAGGAAATTGAGTGACTTTTATTTTATTTATATACGGTATTTATACATCTTAGTACAGTGAGGAAATTGAGTGACTTTTATTTTGTTTATGTCTCAATTATTGTGTTTGAGACAATTTCTTAAAAACTGTAGTTCTGTACTGTATTACAATAATATTCTATCCTATCATTAGCCTCATAATCCCACAACTGAAAACCATTCAAAAAGTGATTACGGTAACATCTTTTGAACGAAAGAAAACGAAAGTCATTGCTTTTGTCACAATTTTATCCCACTTTCCACTGTAATACATACGTCATTTCAGCAAAAATATTACATTTCCATATTCTCAGAAATAAATAGTAGTTTTGTTGAAACGTAATGTACAGTATTTAATATTAAAATGCAAAAAGCGCTATAAAAACAATTAATACTGTACACCCGTAATGTACTGGCTGGCATCTCCACTCGTCCCTGCTCCCGCCAGTCACCTCCTCCCCGCTCTATCCCTCCGCCTCCTCGACATCGTCACTACTGTTGTATTACAATAATATTCTATCCTAATTCACTTGAATAAATACTACGATACCATATTTCTGAATATTTTCATCAAAATCCATCAAAATCATTTTCCTTGTCATCGTCTTCAACACCAAACAGCTCCTCACAGTCTTCTCCTTGAACAGGGCTAGAGGGTACGTGTTTTTCGAATCATTTTCAGTTAAAAAAATGTTACATCACATGTATATTTTACCTAAACTGCGCCTGAATGAATATATTCTCAGAAATAAATAGTAGTTTTGCTGAAATGTGATGTATTTCAATGTAAAATAGGATAAAATACATGACGAAAGCAAAAGACTTTACCTAACCTTCTGATGTTTAAGAGATGTTACTTGTTTTTATAATAGTTTTCGGTTAAAATACTGTTATATTACAATGATATTCTATTCATACTGTGCTTGATATACTACATTCACGGAAATGTAATATTTTTGCTGAAATGACGTACTTATTACAGTGGAAAGTGGGATAAAATCGTGACGAAAACGATGACTGTTGCATCACAAGTGAATTAGGATAGAATATTATTGTAATACAACAGTTTTTTAACTGAAAACCATTCGAAAAGCGATTACGGTAACATATTTTGAACGAAAGAAAGCGAAAGTCATTGCTTTCTTCACTTTCCATTGTAATACGTACGTCATTTCAGCAAAAATATTACATTTCCATATTCTCAGAAATAAATAGTAGTTTTGCTGCAAAGTAATGTACAGTCAACCCTCACTTTACGCGGTCCCACATTCCGCGTTTCCACGTTAACGCGGTGCCCTGCCAGAACCCAGGATGCTCACATTCCGCGGTGGGTGTACCCCTTTACACGGGTGAAGTATAATTTTTTTATTTAGCTCATAAAATTCATACAAATTATCCGGCCAGAATATAATTTACATTGCTGGAATTCTTACAATTTGATGATCATTTTGAATATAAACATCATAGATTTTGCATTAGACTTACAAATTTTAGATATGTTTACTCTTGAGTAAATATGTTTTCTTTTGTGCAAAATATATGACATTTATATTCAAAATATTCCTGGTCTTACAAGGAATCCAGCAATGTCAATTATATTATCCTAACTTTAGGCTGATTTATTATTTATTACTAAAAAGGTAAATAGTCTGGTATTCCCACACACTTATCTAGTAGGGACTGTTGGTGGGGGGTGGGAGGGACCGGCAACCGACCATCTGTCACCGTGTGAAGAATATTTTTGTTTTTATTAACTGAAGATTTTTATTTTAGCTCATAAAATTCATACAAATTACCCGGCCAGAATATAATTTACATTGCTGGAATTCTTACAATTTGATGATCATTTTGAATATAAACATCATATATTTTGCATTAGACATAAAATTTTTAGATATAATGTTTAGTCTGAGTAAATATCTTATCTTTTGTGCAAAATATATGACATTTATATTCAAAATATTCCTGGTCTTACAAGGAATCCAGCAATGTCAATTATATTATCCTAACTTTAATCTGAGGTATTATTTAATACTAAATGTTTAAATCTAGTTTTTTCACCCACTCTTTCTCTTGAAGGGAGGGTTGGGACGGACTGACCATCTGGCGCTTGGAAGAGGGGGGGAGGCAAGGTGGGGTACTTTGATTGACAGATAGTGTCGTGAAGAATATTTTTTTTTTTATTAACTGAAGATATTTGTTTTAGCTCATAAAATTCATACAAATTACCCGGCCAGAATATAATTTACATTGCTGGAATTTTTACAATTTGATGATCATTTTGAATATAAACATCATAGATTTTGCATTAGACATACAAATTTTAGATGTAATGTTAACTCTGAGTAAATATGTTATCTTTTGTGAAGAATATATGACATTTATATTCAAAATATTCCTGGTCTTACAAGGAATCCAGCAATGTCAATTATATTATCCTAACTTTAGTTTGAGGTTTTATTTATTACTATACCTGGTTTTCCCCCAAAAATTTCTCAGAGGGAAGAGCCAGTGAGTGTAGTGTGAGAAGAGGGGGAGGGAGTTGAGTCCATTATTTGAATGGACATTAGCATGGCGACTGTATTTCTCTATTTCTCTTAAGTATTAATTGTGTGCATGTACCATCATAAAATTAAGATGTTATTTTTACCAGAACATAGGTATTGTGTTGGAAAAAGTGGAGTTTGGGGATCAGCTGGTCTCTATTTCATTTAATTCCATATGTTATATTATTCACTTTACGCGTTTCTCACTTTCCGCGGTACCCTGTGGGTTACATTAACCGCGTAAAGTGAGGGTTGACTGTATTTCAATGTAAATTAGGATAAACTACATGAAAACAAAAGACTTTACCTAACCTTCCGATGTTCAAGATATATTACTCGTTTTTTTAATAGTTTTCAGTTAAAATACTGTTATATTAGTGATATTCTATTCATACTGTGCTTGATATAATACATTCACGGAAATGTAATATTTTTGCAACTACAATGCTCATGTCAACACAACGTGGTTACAGCGAGACTGACTGAGTGAGGGAGAGCTACCGTATATCTCGGCTTATAAGACGAAATTTGAACATTAAAAAAATCTGCCCAAAGTTAGGGGGTCGTCTTAAGCAACAAATATAAAATTCTTACATCTTAAATATTGTGTCAAGAGTGGTGATGGAAACATCGTAAGCCACTCACAAAGTCCTACCAGTAATTATTTTATACTGAAACTTACGTTTGGCAAGCTGGATTCAAATTAAGATTACCGGTATATTAAAATAATAAAAATGTATTATAAACCTGTCTAACATACCCTGTAATAAACACAGCTATCATCACACACCCCTCCCCACGCCCCCCCCATTTGCCAGTGAGGAGACAAGAAAGGGAAAGTGACCGCGAGATTGGGCTATTTTTAGCCGTGGAGGTGGTCAGTAATGCATACCGGTATCAGTATATTTACTCATAATAATATTTATCTCCTATAAATAATTGATTTAAATTTTATTTTTTTACAAAGAATATTCAGTAAATGACTGCATTAATTCTTGAAACTATCGACGGTTAATTACAGACGCTCAAGTGACGTCACTAGTGTTTACACTACACCAGCGGGTAACATTTGATGCCATTACTTGAAGTGAATTGGCCTTATTTTAAGTAACTAACTATAAATAAATACAAAAATTAAAAAAAAAGATCAAAACTGAGAAATAATATACTGTATGTATGTTGTGTTGTCAAAGTAAGAGGAACAATTAAAACTGCAATTGTGTGTAAATGAGGCAGAAAGTATGTATGTATGTGTGTGTGTGTGTGTGTGTGCATGTATGTGTGTGTGTATGTATGTATATATATATATATATATCTTGATAAAATCACACGGGAAAATGGAAACAACGGAGTACCTTAGCTTTCGTCTTTATTCAAGACATCTTCAGAGGCAACTGGATTACATGGACAGAGAGAGGCTTAAATATACAGGGTGACCTAAAAACATGAGGTCAAGTCATAATGATGACATCCACTAATCCCCACACCATATATATATATATATATATATATATATATATATATATATATATATATATATATATATATATATATATATATATATATATATATATATATATATATATTTGTGTAATAAATGTATGTAGTAAGTACGTAATATTTTTTCACTCAAATCCTAATGAAACACTACTGGAGAACATTCCTTTGTCGCAAAACAGTTTATAAATTTAAGAAAATAATTACAGTGTGTTTAATATATTACAGTATATTATAAATAAATAAATAAACAAATAATTCGGTAAATCTATTTCAAGTAAATGGAAAATAAGCAAACAAATGTTATTTACCAAGACGCTTCCGTCTGGCTCAGGGTGAGATGGAGGGGAGATAACAAGGCTATTTATAGCCCGTCTGAAGTGGCCAGTACCCTAATGCACCATAAATAATTCATTGAACATTCATTTGTTGTACATAGTATATTCAGTATATATATATATATATATATATATATATATATATATATATATATATATATATATATATATATATATATATATATATATATATATATATATATATATATATATATATATATATATATATATATATATATATATATATATATATATATATATATATATATAAATATATAAATATGATTGTGTAATAAATGTATGTAGTAAGAACATACCGGTAACCTTTTTCACTTAAATCCTAATGAAACACCACAATTAGAATACGGTGGTTGCTGTTGAACCACCTGTTGTATAAATAGTCGGAACACAGTCACACCACGGAGACGAGGGAACACTCCCACCACCGGTCGTCCGTACAAATGAAAGAAAATACTAGCAGTGTGTTTAATACGTTACAATATATTATAAATAAATAAATAAACAAATAAATCGGTACACTGTAAAT